TCAGCTATGCATGTGATTACAAACATGCAATTAGACAGTGAACAGATAGGAGCCTGTCGTTAGTGACCATCACAGGAGTCACGACTACTGTAAGTCCGTGAGAGTCTATGACAACCACCATCTTCAGGTGACTGACTTTCACCTCGAATTTCACGTATAACGAAGACGACTGCGTTCTCTCGCGAACCCGACTTCGTTATACGTGAAATTCGAGGTGAAAGTCAGTCACCTGAAGATGGTGGTTGTCATAGACTCTCACGGACTTACAGTAGTCGTGACTCCTGTGATGGTTACTAACGACAGGCTCCTATCTTTCCACTGTCTAATTGCATGTTTGTAATCACATGCATAGCCGACGAAGCGACCCCATCACCTTCATATACGCTGTCCACATCCTCACACAGGATAGCAGTACACTCACGAGGCTCAATATACCTAACATGCTGTGTACACTATCCGGAGTGAATAATAATACATCACTATCTCCATCATTAACTATTATTATTCACTCCTCGTACCCATCCTTAACGATGCAACAATACTCGCTTAACGACGCAAAATAATAAAGTTGACCACTAGATGGCAGCACATGCCGTGGCCAGCGTAGCGTGAAGCAATAACTGCACAGCAGCCGTCACGGCCGTAGGAATAATATAGATAGACTTAGAATAATATTAATAATATAGATAGGTTATCTATATTATTTCTATGGTCACGACTCACGTTATAGACTGACGAACGTACGAGAAGAAGGGCTAAACCGATCCCCTACGTGGAAGTCCCTACATTAACCAATACAGAAGCACCAAGCTGCTAGAATCTACGAGTAAACGTGACTAACCTGCAGTGGATCGTGCAAGCATAAGCACCGCGCACAACGCCCACTCAACAGCAACATCGCACCGCAGAAGTGCGTAACCCCGCATAGAGAGTCAAGCATAAGCACCGTGCACAACGCCCACTAAACAGCAACATCGCACCGCAGAAGTGCGTAACACCGCATAGAGAGTCAAGCATTATCCCCATTAGCAGTACATGCCAGCATTGTTTCACCCCAACACCCCAGCACTATAGGTGAGAGGGGTTGTACTACCTTCCAGCTAAACCAGCATGCAAGGAAAACATGACTACATTTAACATTCACGAGCGCAGAAAACAGTTGGGGGCTATCTTGCATTGAGAGCATGCCAGCTAGCAATAAGGTACGAGTCCTGTACACGAAGATCCTTAAAACCTAACTACAGAAGTTGACCTGTTATCAGTCTGGTGAGGCACAGATCCAGCATCGTGGACAATTTCTCAACTTGTAAACAAGAAATCCTGCTTTGTACATCAAATTCACCGCAGAAAACCACATTCTTTGCATCTATTTCAAGCTTGTAAAGACCTTACCAGCACACTTTAACATTTGTTCGAATACAGTGAGTTTTTCAACAAGCAAATCGTAAAACAATACAGAGGCGTTTTGTTGCATTCCACAGTAAACACACACATACTTGGAAGTGGCGTCATGGTAACAGTAAACATGTTATTTTGGGCCAACGGGGGATGTCCTAATTTGGTATGAGGATTCCATTTGTTAAATGTCTTTGTTGAGCACACACGCATTCACATCTGTGCTAATTACATACAGCAACATTACATACAGCAACATTAGCAAAAATTGCTTATTGTTTATCCTTTAAAAAAGATTCCCCATTGTATTGTCATGAATTCTTATCGACAGCTTCGCTATATTACAATAACAGAACAAAGTGTGTGGTTAGGTTGATACAAGCTTGAAATCTATTTTGATTGAGAGTAGTTTGCCATCTATAATGATGTGTATCCATGATTTAACATCGGCAAACCTTTACTTTGATTCGTTTCCGGTGTTAGGTAAACACGAACACAGTCCATCACATCGCGTTGATGACAACCCTATCACGTAATAATATCAGTCATATGGCAGGTGCTAGCAAGATGCAAGTGCTTCCTTCACTCACTGTGTAGCTCTCCTTTCAAATGTAAGTACATTAGTAACGGGACCAGCTATCAGTAACACAGTAGTACCACCTTCGCTATCCTCGATATCTAACTACACTTAATACCAGGCAACTACCAGTAAGAAAGAAAGTACTTCTCACCCTGAGTAGCTACCCTTGAGATACAACTACACTTAATACCAGGCAGCTACCAGTAACAGCCGCGTAACCACACACACACACCCGTAGCTGCTAACATGCCATCGACAGACGTCCACCCCCTCCCTCCCCCCGCCTCACCGGCCCGGACAGCCACCCACCCTCCCCCCTCGTTGCCTCCCCGACAGGTCAGCCACATCCCGCAGCCCCCCAGAACCGACCACGGCCCTCCCTTCCCCCCGGCATCCCCGCGGACAGCCACCCCCACCCGGCCTCCCCCCATGACACCACCCCTCCTCCCCCCAGACGATCCACCCCTCCTCCGTCCCGCATCCCCGCCGGACAGCCACACCGCCCGGCCTCCCCGCGCAGACGACCACCCGTCCCGTCCCCCGGCCTCCTCCCAGCATCCCTCCGGATGCAATCGGGGGAAGCAGCTATCAGTACGGCACAAACCCCATCATCGGATGGACGGCCCCTCTTCCCTCCTCCTCGCCTGAATGCAATCGCGTCGCCTCCACGAGCGAAGCAGCTACCAGTACGGCACAAACCCCATCATCGGATGGACGGCCCCTCTTCCCTCCTCCTCGCCTGAATGCAATCGCGTCGCCTCCACGAGCGAAGCAGCTACCAGTACGGCACAAACCCCATCATCGGATGGACGGCCCCTCTTCCCTCCTCCTCGCCTGAATGCAATCGCGTCGGCTGTGAGAGGGAAGCAGCTACCAGTACGGCACACACCACATCATCGGGGACGGCCCCTCTTCCCTCCTCCTCCTCGCCTGAATGCAATCGCGTCGGCTGTGTGAGGGAAGCAGCTACCAGTACGGTGTGGCCGTGTCCGACGCGTTCCACACGGCAAACTCCGTATACGAGTCAGACGCATTGAGCAGCCCGTCCGTGTGCGGCGACTTCGGCAGCGCCACCGGCATCGGTGGCGCCCCCGCACCACCACCGCCGTGTCGCGGTACCACCACGTAGTTACGTCCGCCATTGCTATCCCAGTGTTCCGAGCCGTCGCAGCGGAAATACACGCAGAACTCGACGCGAGCGTCGGCGCCCGCCGCCTCCGTTCCCGCGGGGATGTTCGCCGTGAACGAGAACGTCTCGAAGCCGACGCCCTTCATCGAGACGCGGCCGCCGACGACGTGCGACGCCGGGACGTCGACGTGCGATCGCCAGCGGTCGAAGGTCGTGCGCACGCCGACCTGCTTCTCGAACGCGAGGTCGCGCACCTTCACCGTCCCCGTCAGCGACGAGTCGCGCAGGATCACGTTCTCCAGCGCGACGTTGTCGTCCGCGAGCCGCTGCCGGAACGCGACGTAGTCCGCGGCCGGCTGCCGGAAGTCGAGCATCCACGGGTCGTCGGCTCGCGCGGTGTCGCTAGCGTCGGCAAGGACGCGCGCGATGACGTCGTCGTCGAGGCGCGGCGGGCATCGCGACGGCTCGCGCATCACGCGCACCGTGTAGAGCGCGTATCCCTTCTCGTCGGCAAACTGCACGCGGTGTCCCTTCCGGCGCACGCACCCCCCCGAGGACGAGGAGCCCTCGGGGGAGAGGCAGGAGCGGGTCGGGGAGCGCGTGAAGGAAGCCACCATCGTGTTCTTCCAGCTGAAGGTGAAGCTGTGGCTGCGAGGGAGGAGCTCGGTGACGGAGGGAGACATGCCGTTCATGTTGCTGAAGAGAGGCGGGCTCGCCGACAGCAGGCCGCAGTTAACCGGCATGTCTGCTGCTGCTGCTGCTGCTGCTGCTGCTGCTGCACCCTTCCTGTCTTCCTGCGTGTCTGTCTGTCTGTCTGCAACGCTATGTCTCTCTGTGTGTATGTCTATCTTGAATGCTCTGTCCAACTCTGTGCGTCTGTGTGTCAATCTGTCACACTTGCTCTCTGTGACAGTGTGTGTCCGCCTATCTCGCGCTCTTTCTTTCTCTCTCTCTCTCTCCCTCTCTCTCTCTGACAGCTGGGCCTCTCTCTCTCTATCACTCGAGAGCCCTCTCGACAGTGAGGGAAACGTCAATGCAATGTCACAGGATTCCGGTGTTTGTCACCACGCTACGACGACGTCGCACGGCGCGCGTCAGTCGTTACTTCCTGTCGCTGCTGCTGGACGATGCGTCAGGTCGGGGGAATTCTCGATGATGGATGAGAGGCTCTGACATGGCTTCAGGTAGCGGCGTCTGCTTCCCGTACATGCTCTTCTGTGCTGCTCGTCTGCAACACAAACAAGTGAACAGGTGATGAATACAGTGATGATAGTAATCTTATATAGTGTATTAAATGTAATCATGGAATGTCTGCATCCATGGAGATCCTATGCTTACACATCTGATGATTCTAGCTAGTGTTGTCAATCGGTTGTAATTTCGTAATCGATCATCGGTTGGACCCAAGTAACCGATGATCGGTTACAATCGGTTACTAGGGGTGTTGAATGCCTGCGTGTGCGCAACGTCGTGCGCATGTACGTGTGTGCATGTATGTGCTTGTTTAGCCCTGTTTACCGTTTGTTTTGCACTGTTTACTACTGTGTGTATAATATATGTATGTTAATAAAGGATAACTTGTATAGTAGCGATGATATCTCCGATTCTCATCACTTTTCCAAGTTTTCTTGTTCAAGTTTTACATTTATTTCAATATTTTTTTTTTTTTTGATGAAATTGATTATGGATTTTGATAACCAAGCGCTTTATAACCAAGTACTTGGTTCGAGCCACTGTTCAACCGATGATCAAGTATAATTGATGATCGTGACATCACTAATTCTAGCCATGTATTGTAACGACCGCATACATCAGTCAAACAACCGACAATAGTCTTCATTTTCATTAATATCTGTCACGAGCTGTCATCGATTGCTTGAGCTCATGAGTATGTGTCACGAGCTGTCATCGATTGCTCGAGCTCATGACGATGTGATTATGGGATGGCGATGCTATTTTGGTGCATCAAGCCAGTGCCAAGCGAGAAGAAACACACGTGAAATAGCAGCTAAAGGTCGCAAACATCAGAGGGACTATCATAGACTGTCCCATTCTGACATTTCCGTCGCCGAGCGCATATAGGGCTACGGCCAGATAAATTTCAGGGAATTTCGGAGCCAGTCTATGGATTCCCACACGCATTACACCAGCTGCATTAGATATATATGAGAACGTCCCCGTTTTTCTCTCAGGAGAACTGCTCACAAGCTGCAGCCACAAACTGACACTTACACTCATGGTGGGCATACACTCAGTACGTCATGGCATGTGCATGCCGCTAGTACGGTATGTTATGTGCATGCCTAGTATGTCGATGCATGTGTGCCTAGGTACGTCTGCTATGTGGCATGCCCTACCTACGTTCATGCATCGTGGATACGCCGAAGTAGTCATGCGCATGTCATCCGTATGGTCGCGTCATGCATGTGCATACGGGGCTAGTTCAACGTCATGGCATGTGCTGCGCCTAGTCGTCATGGCATGTTGCAATGCACTAGTACGGTCATGCATTGTGCTAGCCGTAGTAGCGATCACTCATGGCACACTAGAGCACAGCTTCTCTATTAGGAATCTAAGTTTGACGGAAACGAGTTTAGATGTTATATAACGGCCGTATGAGACTGTTCCTAATAGGAACATCCTATGGCTATCTCTCTCTCTCGGCTCATTACGTTTGCTACACTGCTCTAGCCCGAAAACAGAGACGCGGCCGGTATCGGCAGCAACAGCCGTCTGTCCTGCTCAGATCCTTGATAACACGCATGGTCTCGAGCAAGATTACAAAATTTCTCGCAAAAACTACGAAGCGGGTTTGTCCAGGTCAGAAGCAGTAGCGGCTACAAAGAATGAGAACATGAGGGGCGGGGAGAGAGAGGAGAGAGGGGGGTGTGAAGCGAACAAAAACTAGGGTGACCTACGAAGGTCATTCGGCAGAAAGCTATGGCAGACGGTGTACAAATATCGAAAGCATGCAGAGGAAGGAAACGAGGCGTAGAAGCATACAAAGAAAGTAGACATGCAAATTCCGGGAGGACACTGGCTGGGATAAGCCGCACCGAGAACAGTCCGCATAGTGAACTGGAGAGTGAGAAGACAACTAATGAGCGAAGCGCTTATAGAAAGTTGAATAGCAAAGTATCATGGGTTGTAGCAGCACACTAGGTGAGGGTTTTAACCACCCGTCGTCATCACTGTAGCGCACCTTTATTATCGTCAAGTGTGTGTGAGGTTTCTACAGCGTATTTTAATAAGAATGTTTTCGGCCGCAACTCGTTTAGAGTCAGTATAAGCTAATGGGTCGTCTCTGTCTGCTCTCTCTTCGTGCCGTCTCTCCTCTCTCGGCTCTTCTCACTCTCTCCCCTCTCTCCTCCTCCTCCCCTCTCTCTCTTCTCTCTTCTCTCTCTCTCTTCTCATCTTCTCTTCTCTCTCTCTCTCTCTCTCTCACTCTCTCTCTCTATGCTCTGTCGTCTCTCCTCCTCTCTCTGCTCTCTTCCTCTCTCTCCTCTGCTCTCTCTCTCTCTCTCTCTCTCGTCTCGCTCTCTCTCGTCTCTCTCTCGTTCTCTTCTCGTCTCTCTCTCTCTCTCTCGTGCTCTTCTCTCTCTCTCTCTTCATGTTTCTCGTGCATCTCTGCATCTCTCTCTCTCTCTCTTCTCGCTGCTCGTTCTCTCTCTTCTCCTCTGCTGTCTGCTCCTGCTCTCTCTGCATTCTCTCTCATCTCTCTCAGTGCTCGTCTTCTGTCCTCTCCTCTGCTCGTCTCCTCTTCTCGTCTTCGATATCATCGTCTCTCTCTGTCTCTGCTCTGCTTCTCTCTCCTCTCTCGCTCTCTCTCTCTTCTGCTTCTCTTCCTCTCTTCTTTTCTCTTTTCTTCTCTCATTCTCTCTCTGCTTTCTGCTCCTTCAGTCTCTCTCTCTCTCTCTCTTTCTCTCGTCGTCTCTGTCGTCCTTCCTTCTCGCTCCTCTCTCTCTCTCCGTCTTGCGTCTTGCTCTCGCCGTCCTTCTCGCATCCCGTTTCCCTTCCCCCTCGCCTGCCCGGCGCCCCCCCTCCCCCCCCCACCCCCCCCGCCCCCTCCCTCGCCCCCCCCCCATGCTCCCCCCCCCCCCCCACCCCACCCCCCCCGCGCCGCCCCTCCCTCTCCCCCCCCCCTGCCGCTCCCCCTCCTCCTGTCCTCTTCCTCTTCCTCTCATCTTCTGCTTCTCTCTCTCGCCAGTCCGCGCCCTTCCCCTCTCTCCCGGGNCTCTCTCCACACATATATATATATAGATCATTATCATTATCCTTCATCTCAGATATTTTAAAATAATTTTCTCTAACTTATCAGACTCAGTACACGTAATTCCCTAAAAGCAAAGTAAAGCACATATACTTCTCATCTGCATATTTTTCCATCTAAATGTGAGTGAATAACACAAGTGACTGCCGAGACAAACAACATATGAGTAATTTCTGACTCACAGGTGAGATCTCAAAAAGCTTACATGAAGAAAGTGCAACATCATTATACGTAGCATTCAATCAAGAGCGTATCAAGTATGCTTACTTAAAGCATACTTAAGTATGTATACTCAGCACTTACTTATACTTAGCTACTTAAGTATACTTAATACGCTCTTGATTCAATCCACAGCCATCGAGAACAACGATGGAATCAACCAAACATTGAAACATCTACTATCGACATGCCCTTCTAAGATATATATATATATACTGGTCATTAATTAGCTGCTACTGTCCTACTACCCACCATACCAGCTCGCATGCTCGTGCATCCATCCACATAATCACACAGTCACACACACACACGTGTAGCACGCTCGTGCATCTTATGTCACACAGTCACACACACACACGTGCAGCACGCTCGTGCATCCACGTACTATGTCACGTACCAACAAGCACCGACTGACTAATCTCACAAACTGTGTCGACGAATCTCTTCTCAAACACACCTACTCTGTATCGAACGCGGGACCGATTTCCGGTCCGCGACTCTTATACCCTTGTGCGCACGCAAGATGTCTCTGCTATCTCCAAATCCCTTGCTGATCCACGCGTAGCGTATATAGCGTGTATCGCGTGCAAGAGTGCAACCGAACCCGCGCAACCTTGGACCGTTGCCCTAGTCAATGACATCAGGTGTAATACTCTCCCGTGTTGTCAGCGGAATGTCGAGCTACGTTGACAAACTAGCTGCTACTGAAAGGTAGCGTGCGTTTTGTAGCCAGACTAGGATGTAGCTGAGAAGGGGATGGAAAGGAGGGGTAGGGGTAGAGTCGTAGGTGCGCAGAAGGAACTTAGGTAGAGATAACATGCTTTTTTCTCTCACGAACGTACTTGCGAAACTAGGTGACGTTCTTCTTATGCCTCTGTGCAAATAACTCCTTTTCACGAGCCACTCACAATCAGCTTCGAGTTTTTTCCCCCCAAGATAGCATTTACTACCAATCATCTAGCCCGACCAGGCTCTACGACTGTTTCACGCTGCATCTTGCTACGTTAGTGAGAAGAGAGAAGGTAACTTGTGGGTTTACACTACCAACTTTATGTTGGCGAATTGGCAAATTGGACCAACTTCCCAACTATACAATCGACAATTGGCAGTGTAAACGCAAAGGTCGTAAGAGCAACTGGTCGATAGCAACTGGTTGGGAGATTAGAACATATTCTATTTTCGCAAACTCGGAGTTGCCAAATTGCGAAATTGGTCCAACTCACCAATTTGACAACATAAAGTCGGTAGTGTAAACCCAGCTTAAAGGTGTGTGTATGAGTGTAAAGGTGTGTGTACGAGTGTGAGGGTGAGTGTACGAGTGTAAGGGTGCGTGTACGAGTGTAAGGGTGCGTGTACGAGTGTTAGGGTGCGTGTACGAGTGTAAGGGTGCGTGTACGAGTGTAAGGGTGCCTGTACGAGTGTGAGGGTGCGCGTACGAGTGTAAGGGTGCGTGTACGAGTGTAAGGGTGCATGTACGAGTGTAAGGGTGCGTGTACGAGTGTAAGGGTGC